TATCCATCACCTCTTTTGAGCAGCCAAGATACCGTCTTTGCACGGAGCGCAGACAAGCAAGGCACAGTCCATGCACTCGTGGGCGAGACTGAACTTCATAGAGAAGATGGTCGATGGAGCATTGAATGTATCTTTAGCCTTTCCTTCCACACGGGGAGGAACGACGTTAGTGACGAAAGACGCTTCGGATGCTCGTCGCCGAAGCTCGATTTCGGTTGTGGAGACGATATTGCCGTAGGTATCTACTACCCGGTCGGAAGAGTACTGAATATCCTCCATGGGCGAAGTTTCGCGGATGGGCACACTGTGAGATAGCGGTGAGGCGACGGAAGTAGTAAGATGGGGCGCTGTTCCAATGGCATCACCAGCTTGAAAGAGCCCGCGAGGAGGTATGTATCCGCCCCGTCCGCGACCGCGTCCTCGTCCGGGTCCGTTACCCCTCCTGAACCCTCGACCGGCTCTTCGTACTATACCTGCGGGTACGGTCTTTGCCTTCATCTCATTGACTGCGGTGTTCGGTGCTTCGATCTCTGGATGTATCGAGCACCAGCATTTTACACACTCCATCTCAGCCGCGGAGTCGTTGACTAGAGCCTTCGCAAGGGGGATTGTGTAGGTTTCGAATGTGTGGATACAGTTCCATGAGCGATCTTGATAGTCTTCTCCTGGTTCTTCGCCGAAATCCAGATCTTGATTCTCCCAGTAACGAGGCCCTCCAGCATCAAGATTACGTGGAGGCGCTGGCTGTGGCGTAGATATCGCTGCTGCGCCAACAGTCTCTTGCACTTGAGATGTCTCGTTGGATAGCGCCGAGGCATCGTTGGTGCCAGATGGAGAGTCGCCCTCATCAGACTCCGTGATGTTGCCGTCACTGCCATCGTCGTCCCCATATTCATTACACGCTCCACCACAGTCCTCCGGCTCGTCCATACACATGTAGCAGAAGTGCGCTCCACATCGACACTCCATGTGTAGACAACCGTACATTCGTTTCAGTCCATGGCCGCACTTCGGACATCTCTTATATCCCCAGCTCTTCAGTAGCTCTGTAGTTTCTGCATCGATGCCGAACTCAGATATATTGCATATAGCGTCCGGATGAGCGACTTGCCGACATTCAAGACAGATTCCAGCTGAGCAAGTTGGACACGCAAAGACGTTCGACGTTGGCGTTCCAACACCAGAGTCAGCGCGCTTCCCTTGCTTTTTTGTTGCCTGATCGGGCAGGAGTCGTTCTGGAATGAAGGCCGAGCATGTTGGCACTGGACAATAGAATGGATTTGGTGTGAGCCACTCTTCGTACTTGGATTTGAACTCTGTAAACTCCTCCTTCGTCAGATGCGGTTTTGCGTAATGAATTGGTATCTGTCCGCAGCACCGTGGAGGCATGCGCGTGGTATCTTTGCAGCATTCGGTGAACATCCTCTTGATACACGACCCACAGTATGTACTGCCACATTGTCTGCATGGCTTCACAACCTCCTTTGGGTGCTTCGGGCTTTTGGCACCTGGTAATTCCGTACAGCATATAATACATTGTACTTCTGGTAATGGTAAGGTAAGAGTAGGCTGTGCTGGTGCTGGTGCTGGTGCTGGTGCTGGTGCTGGTGCTGGTGCTGGTGCTGGTGCTGGTGCTGGAGGAGAACGGGGCCGGGTAAGCGCTGGCTGCGGTGCCGGTTCGTTGGGATGGTCTCGAATAAACGCAAGTCGCAACCGTTCGTAGCGGATAAGGAAGGGATTGGTAGAACTTTGTTCCATACCGACAGAAGACGCGGAATTGGATGATAAGGCGGGTGCGCTGTTGCGTCTTTGCAGAATCGTGGGTGTGGTGGTAGAAGTTGCAACGTTTATGTCGTCGTGACAATAAGGGTCTGAGACCCGTGGTGTGGCCTCTTGGCAGTCCCGTTTGGCGTTTGCATGGTCAATGTCGTGATGTTGGGCAGTTGCGACTGGCGAGGCAGCAGCTTTCACGTGCGGCCGTACCGCTCGAGAGAACTTGGAACCCATACTAAACGAGATGGCTTATGCTACTGTGTCACATAGGGATATCGACAGTATTACCTTAAATAGAGAACAGCATGCAGTTAGATGTGCGAGGTTTGACTCAAGGCTGTTGACTCAACGGAAGGCGCAGTGGTGCTGCCTGCAGGCAGCCAGCCTTGCGGCGCTGACAGTCATTGGCTTCGACGAGACATCATCACAGTACCCCACAGATACCAGACATCTCCTAGCTCCAATGAGACTGTGGCCTGAAGATGTGTCCGATTTACCTCTACAATATATGCCGATTGATCAATCAATGCTCCGAGACTCGTGTCGTACTGCGGGAGCATGGCGAGGGCTGACCATGACGTCAGATCACGAGCCTTCGCCCTTCAGCCATATAACTCTGGTAGGGGCACAACAACAGAACCTCGAAACATATGACATTCCGCCCTTTCGATAGCAGAGAGCTGCATACGGTTGAGGGTACGATGTCGTGCACAGCCAGCAGGCGGCCTACTCTATAGGAGCTCCACCAACCCCGCACCAGGTTTAGCGCCATCTGGGGCTTCAGCTTTCCCGAGGTCGCTAGGTAGCTTTCACACTCGAACACCGTATTCGCCATAATCCATCATCCACATTTGTATCGCAGTACGCCTACTACGGAACAGTTGCTGGATCCGCTTCTTGTCGCTACCATCTGATGAACGTCACCTGGCCATCGTCTTGTATCCTAGAGATCATGGCGTGTACCGGCACGAAGGGTAGGCGTCCAGTTGTGTAGCTCAATGCTCTTCCTCAGATGTGATTACAGCTCCGAGTCAGACAAGTTGTCTGATGTTGCTGTGAAGCTCAAAATCTTTTTGTTCGCGATTCCTCGCCAGCTGGAAACCAGACATGGTTCGTCATCAATGTCGCAACTCTCGAAGCTAGTCAGACCCTGAGCCATGCACACGTAGGAAGGCGCATCTCCGAAAGCGATCGATTGTCGTCTCCAGCTGCTGAAAGTCCGTATGGCGCTGCATCAAAGACATGCTAGACTTGATCGGATTTAGGCTCGAAAGGAGAAGAACAGGCTCTACAATCTAAGTTCAGTATTTCGACGGAGTGAAAAGTTCAATGTAATACGTGATATGTGATCCAAGTTATCTCAAAAGGCTCGGCTATAGGCTAGGCTCAACTGCGGATATAACATGACGGCCCGGTGCAATTCAGTCTGACCGCACCGAGATGATGTTGAGTAAGCCTACGCGGTTGGGCACAACTCCAAGAGAGAGCTCCAATCTCTTGCATCGGCATCGTGGAATGTGGCGCAGACGGTCGTCTTCACCCGAAATACGCTCATACGTTTATACGCTGAAACCTGGTAGACTTCTGCAGGCTAGACGTAATAGGTGCTATTACCACGCGGAGCGGGGTATATAGCGTGAACGACTCATGCAAGTCCTTGCACAGGACGACGACATCTAGATTGACTACCACCAGCGATATGCCTTGAAAGCGCGAAGCTAATACACCGCGACTACGTTGATTAAGTTGCGATCGTCACACTGGAAAACGGGTACTCGGATATTGCTGGTATTCTTAGGACTCGGAGCCAACGTGGCTAGCGATGTTCTTGGGTAGGGATCGCAGACTATCGGTGTACCGCGAGGTACTTTTGACATTCAAGGTACTTTGTACCGTTTGCAACGTAGTGGCCAATTGAGAGACACAGCCAAGCATGGCGGATGGTGGAGGACATGCCGAACAACGTACCGTCGGCTCGTGTATCCGCTTGGTATTGACGCGATGCTGCTCTGAGAGAAAAGGTGTAGCACAAATGGGTCAGTATCGGGGTCAAGTTACTCAGACCAGATCAGTGACGTGAGTGACTTTCGTTGTACCACCTGCCGAGTGGGGCGGCCCACGAGAGCGTCCTGGTGCTTACTAGATCATCCGGTGGAAAAGCTCTCAAGCGCACCTGGTCGGCTGCTAGTTGCTCGACAGCACACGCCGAGGCAACGGTCCGGACGTAAATGTGAGCTTGCAAAACGGGAGCATGTCCTCAAAGAGTTTTCCCGAGGATTCGCCAATGTATAATGCGGGTGCTCCAGGTAATACTGGGGTCTACCCCGAGGAGCTATACCGCCGATTTCTCAGCCCAACGGAATGTCGGACCTCACAGCAGACGACGCTACTGAGCAGATGCTAGAGACCAAGGTTTGCGACTTTGCGGCGCAGTTGAAGACGGAAGCATGGAAGCTCGAATACGACACCAACCCCGCACTGGGTGTCTTGCCCTGGGCTTGGATGTCTTGAGCCAGCGAGACAGGGCGCCTCACGCACCTCCCACTGCGAGCTTGGCTGTTCTGTGGCGCTCGGAAAGGGCTTTTGAGTGTGAGCTTATATGCACGTCCGGGGTTGACGTAGGTAGATGACGATGTACACGGCCAGGGTCATTCAACGCGCGCCCGTGCGCGTAGCTCAAGGGAGACGGGAGAGAAGCAATATTTCTTCTTTTGCTTGTGGAGCTACCCTGACGTGATGCAGATGCGAGAAGTCGATGGTCGCTGCATATGCGCAGCAGTCTTGACTGGAGACGGACCATGTGATGGGGCTTCCAAGGAAACATCGGGGCCAGAAGAACACAGCGGAGGCACCGGGGTGCGCTCCATCGAGTCATTGAGGGCTTAGGGGCGGGGATCAGCAGGTTCTGCACACGTCCCCCGCAGAAGAAGAGGCAGCCGCTTGCGCCTGGGGTCGTGACGGCGCATGGTGCTAGGGGACGGGTAGCTGGGCGCTGGGGAAGCTATGCCCTGCCCTTGTCACTTGCTGCTCGCGGCTGTGAATAAAGCTGTCATGGCGCCCGGGACTTTAGGCCTGTGTCTGCGAGCGCTCTCAACTCCTACTTGCATACTACCACAGTAGATTTATATTACTGTGTTCTTGTATCTCAATCGCCGCGTTTCCCAGCCAGCCGACGCCATGCTGTGGCTTGCACAAGCATTGTTTGCGGGCCTTGCCCATGCCCAGGTATGTTTGCACATTCTCTAATTACGCACCACAACGCCGTTGGCACTGCAAGGTATTTGTCTGCAAGCTGCAGAGATGCTGCGCGATCTTGCGCATCTTGTTGTTGCCCTGTTCCCCTTTCTGCGCGCAGTACAATTCACCCCTGCAGCTGTGTTTACGAGCTTACGCTGATCATAAACAAGTATTCCAACAACACGGGCTCCAACGACACCAGCAGTCCATTGAACTTTGCTGAGAGTCCTCCATACTACCCCAGCCCGTACGTACAAATTTCGGCATTTTACAAGTCATTAGCCGTAGAAGTGGGCTTGACAGGTGTGGGGAAGAGCGAAGGAGCGCCGGCTCCACTAAGCTTTCACATGCGGCAGTTGCATCGCGACATGACCGAACTTCACATCTGGAACGCGAATGCTGACACGACAATAGCTGGGCAGAGGACACCACCGGCGACTGGGCTGATGCCATCACCAAGGCAAAGGCATTTGTCAGCCAGCTTACTCTCATCGAGAAAGTGAACCTCACCACCGGAACTGGATGGCAGAGTGACGCTTGCGTTGGCAACGTTGGCGCCATCCCCCGTCTCGACTTCGACCCTCTATGCTTGCAAGACAGCCCTCTGGGTATCCGTTTCGCCGATTACGTCTCTGCTTTCCCCGCAGGTGGCACTATCGCTGCATCATGGGACCGTGGCGAGTTCTACCGCCGTGGCTACCAGATGGGTCAGGAGCACCGCGCAAAGGGTGTCGACGTGCAACTCGGCCCTGCTATCGGTCCTCTTGGTCGCCATCCCAAGGGCGGAGTAGGTTGTTCCAAATCAATTGCCTTGACATATACTAACATCTTCAGCGTAACTGGGAAGGTTTCTCCCCTGACCCAGTCTTGACTGGCCATGCTGTCGCCGACACCGTTCGCGGTATCCAGGACGCTGGTGTCATTGCCTGCACCAAGCACTTCATCATGAACGAGCAGGAGCACTTTCGCCAGCCCGGTAACTTCGAGGACTTTGGCTTCGTCGATGCCATCAGCTCCAACTTGGATGACAAGACTCTGCACGAGCTCTACCTGTGGCCTTTCGCCGACGCCATCCGTGCTGGAACTGGATCTATCATGTGCTCTTACAACAAGGTCAACAACTCCCAGGTCTGCCAGAACTCGTACCTCCAGAACTACATCCTGAAGGGCGAGCTTGGCTTCCAAGGTTTCATCGTCTCTGATTGGGATGCCCAACACTCTGGTGTCTCTTCCACCCTTGCTGGTTTGGACATGACTATGCCCGGTGACACCGACTTCAACTCCGGCCAGTCCTTCTGGGGAACCAACCTGACCATCTCCATCCTCAACGGTACCGTTCCCCAGTGGCGTCTCGACGATGCGGCTGTCCGTATCATGGCTGCCTACTACTTCGTCGGCCTCGACGAGTCCATCCCTGTCAACTTCGACAGCTGGCAACGCGACACTTACGGATACGAGCACTACTACGCACAGGTTGGCAACAAGCTCGTCAACCAGCACATTGACGTTCGCATGGACCACTTCCGCTCCATTCGCCGCTCTGCTGCCAAGTCGACTGTCATGCTCAAGAACTCTGGAGTCCTTCCTCTCTCTGGAAACGAGAAGTGGACTGGTGTCTTCGGTAACGACGCTGGTGAGAACGAGTACGGTCCCAACGGATGCGCCGACCGTGGCTGTGACAACGGCACTCTGGCCATGGGCTGGGGATCTGGAACCGCTGACTTCCCTTACTTGGTCACCCCTCTCGAGTCCATCAAGCGCGAGGTCACTGACAACGGTGGTGTTGTCACTTCCGTCACCGACAACTGGGCCTACGCGCAGATCCAGGCAATGGCTAGCCAGGTTAGCCACGCTATCGTCTTTGTCAACGCCGACTCTGGTGAAGGTTACATCACCGTCGATGGTATATCTTATCCTGCTTTTATATTGAATCCTTACTAACTCAGGCACAGGTAACATGGGTGACCGCAACAACCTCACTGTCTGGCAAGACGGTGAGACTCTGATCCAGAACGTTTCGGCACTGTGCAACAACACCATTGTCGTCATCCACTCTGTCGGACCCGTCCTTGTCAACAACTTCTACGACAACGAGAACATCACTGCCATTCTCTGGGCTGGTCTCCCCGGCCAAGAGTCTGGTAACGCCATCGTCGACATCCTCTACGGCCGCCACAACCCCGGTGGCAAGCTTCCCTTCACCATTGGCAGCTCCCAGGAAGAGTACGGCCCCGATGTCACCTACGAGCCCACCAACGGCCACGGCAGCCCCCAGGACAACTTCGACGAGGGTGTCTTCATTGACTACCGCGCGTTCGACAAGAAGAACATCACTCCCATCTACGAGTTCGGTTTCGGTCTCTCCTACACCACCTTCGAGTACTCTAACATCAGTGTCGTCAAGGTGCCTGCTGGCGCGTACGAGCCCACTACTGGTCAGACCATCGCTGCCCCTACTCTTGGCAACTACAGCAGGAACATTGAGGAGTACCAGTTCCCCGCCAACTTCACCCGCCCGGCCACCTTCATCTACCCCTACCTGAACTCGACTGATCTTGCTGAGGCGTCGCAAGACCCTGAGTACGGTGTCGACTACACGTGGCCTGAAGGTTCCACTGATGGCTCACCCCAGGCTCGCATCGCCGCCGGTGGTGCTCCCGGTGGTAACCCTCAGCTGTGGGACGTCCTCTACACTGTCGAGGCCACCATCACCAACAACGGCACCGTTGCTGGTGACGAAGTCGTCCAGTGCTACATTGCTCTCGGTGGACCTGAAGACCCCGTGGTCCAGCTCCGCGCCTTTGACCGTCTGAGCATCCAGCCCGGCATGAGCGCTACCTTCCACGCTGACATCACCCGCCGTGACATCAGCAACTGGGACGTTGCCGCCCAGAACTGGGTCATTTCCGAGTACCCCAAGACGGTGTACGTCGGTGCTAGCTCGCGTAAGTTGTTGCTTACTGCTGAGATGGACACCAGCGACTACACTTCCTAGAGCAGTCGTTGAGGTCTGTATTGTTTGGATAAACACCATCAACAGTAATGTTCAATCCTTAATTGTCAGCTAGTCATAGCTAGTTTTATGAAGAAACGAATCTTTGTAACTATTGCCTGATGGTGTGTGCACGTGTCTTGCCTGTCAAACTTGGTGAAACCGCTACATGTACGCTTGATCGATCCAGACAGGCGGCTATCGTGCCCTATCGCGATGGATTGAGGGGTAGTGCCTATCGCGGGCCGGCTGCGCTTCGGCGTTGAGCCTCGATGACGGGCGACAGTCAAGGAATGCGTTTACGAGGCGCCTAATGTAGCTAGAGCGATCAAACTTAGACGCGTCACGAGACGAACGATGCGAAGTTGCGATCGTTATGCAGGATGTCGACGCGATGTTCTGCGACTTTCTTCGCTCATCGTGTAGCAGCACACACAGCAAGCGAGCGTGAGTAAGCGTCGGAAGCGGCAACGATTGGCGTCGTGCTGGTGGGCCGTTGGTGCAGCCAGCAGCGATCCTGTTGGCGGCATGCGAACGGTTTTGTGCATACAGTCTATCTAACTAAGAGCGCGCTAAGACATAGCATGCGCTAACGCAAATAAGTAATTTTTAAAATATAGTATACTAGCGTTATACTACTTAAAAAAATTAGCGCACTTAGTAATAAAATTTTAATTTAAATAATTTTTAGATTTATTCTAAATTAATTTAGACTAGATTATACTTATATTATAATATAAAGCTTTTTTTACTTATATTTAATACTAAGTTTAAATTTCTTAACTTTAATATATTAAACTTAAATATTTATAAAAGATTTAACTTATATTTATTTAGCTTTAGTAAAAGTAATAATAGTAGTATTAAAGACTAAGTTAAAGTATATAGTTAAATTAATTCTAGAATAATTTTAGACTTATTTAAACTAAAGTATAGTTTAACTTACTTTTAAAAATAGTAGTATACTTTTTTTAAAAGCTAAAGTTATTAAGTATACTATATATTTACTTTAATACTTTAGTATAAACTCTAAAAGCTATACTTATATTATTTAAGTTTTAAAAGTAAATAAGTAATATTCTTTAGTTAAGAAAGTATTATAAAATACTAAAAGTATAAGTAGTTTATATAAACTATTTTTAGATTAATTTAGAACTAATTTAGTATAAGTAGTTTTAATACTATAAAGCTAGTAAAGTAGAGAAAAAAAAGACTTTTAGTTTCTTTTTAAATTTAACTATCTTAAGATAAGTTTTTAAGTACTCTAGTATTAAGATATATAAATATATTTAAAATTAATTATAAAATTTTATCTACTTATAGATAGATAAAAGCTTATATAAGATACTTAAGTAGATAAAAACATTTATAAGCTAAATTAAGTAGAATAGAAAAAAAAAAAAGCTAGAAGCTACTTTAATAAGCTTTAGTATTAGTTTAAAGATAGTATTTATACTAATAAAGAGAGTTTCTATAGTCTAGAGTTATTTTAAGTAGAATTAATAGTATATATAGTTAAACTATTTTAAAAATAATTTCTAACTAATTTTAGTAAGTAATAAAGCTTACTTCTTAGTTTATTACTTATAGTAATTATACTCTAAGTAATATAAAGTACTATATCTAGAAAGTACTACTAGAAATTAATATTACTTACTTATAAGCTTTTCTAAATAGTAGAGTAGAAAGCTCTTATAAAGACTATAATATAGTTAAGCTTTAGATCTTATATCTAAAAAACTATAGTAAGTTCTTAAAGAATATTTCTAGATTAATTCTAAACTATTTTAAGTACTAACTATACTTAGAGTTAAGATAAACTTATTTTATAAGACTATAATATAGTAATTAATATTATTATTATTTTATATTTTAAGTAGGTTCTATACTTTATAGTAGTTTTAACTAGTATATACTAGTATATACTTTCTCTATCTTAGTAGCTAGATATAGAATTAGTTAAGAATATAGTTTATATATTTTAATTAATATTAATACTAAATACTATAAGATATAAGCTATTTTATAGATATTAATTCTAAATTATTTTTAAACTATTTTAGCTACCTTTTAATAGTCTAACTAGTTTACTTTTTACTTAAAGTAGTATAAAGTTTTATTAATTAAGAAACTCTATACTACTTAAGTAAATAAAGACTATTTTATAAGAATAGCTACTATTTAAAAATTAATTATATTTTCTCTAAGCGCTAGCTTAGAGAAAGTTCTTTTTAAAAGAAAAGTAAATTATTTTAACTTTACTACTATAAGCGCTATCTAAATTATTTTCTAAATATTTCTAAATTAATTTACGTAAGTATATATTTACTAAATCTTACTAGCTAGTAGAGGCTATATTATTATCTAAGTATAAAATAAGTAAGCTAAACTACTTATAAAATAAAAAACTTTTTAGATAGATATATCTTTTAAGCGCTACTATAATAGTTAAAAAGAAATTCTTTTTACTACTATACTAAAGAGCTATAAAAAGAGTATATAAATTACTTCTAAATTAATTTATAGCTAATTTATATAGTTATTATATTTAGATACTTTACTACTAATACTAAGTTCTTTAAGATATACTAAAAAGTATTTACTACTTTTTTCTAGACTATTAAAAAGCGTTTAAGTTAGCTAGTATAATAGTAGTATTTTTATATATATAGTTTCTATAGTATTACTATTAATATAGATACTAAGTAAATAGCTAGTAAGTTAAATTAATTTATAATTAATCTATACTTATTTTAGCTTAGAATTTAGAAAGTATCTTACTAGTCTTAACTAGCTTAATAGAGACTAGAAGTACTACCTTAGCTACTATATAAAATTCTATATTATTTACTTTCTTTATACTATTAATAAGGCTTATTCTAGTATACTATATATTAAAAATTCTTTATAAAGTAGAATAAAAGCGCTACTTACTATAGTAAGCTAGACTAAGTATTTTAAGTTATATAATCTACTTATTAGTAAGTAGTCTAAATTAATTCTAGAACGTTTCTAAACTATTTTAAGAAAATACTCTAATACTTATAGCTAAAGAATAAGTAAAAAATAAGAAGAACTTTATTATTACTATAGAATTAAATATACACTATAGTAGTATATCTAGAGCTATCTAGAATATACTAAAATTCTATATAAATACTATAGAATAAGTATATATAAAGAGCTATTACACTAGCCTAGAATATAAGCTTTTAGTTAGTATTAGACTATATATTAAATTAGTTCTAAATTATTTTATAACTAATTTTATATAGTACTATATAGATAGATCTATAAAATATATAGAAATATAAGATTTATAAAAAGTATAGTATTAGATATAAATTAAGATAAAATTTAAGCCTAAGTAGCTACTTTTATAATAATATAAAGTAAGAAAAGAGTAAGTATTTAGTTATCTATATATAGATTAATTCTAAACTATTTAGAGTATAAGAAATAAAAAAAAAAAGATAAAAAAAAAGATAATATTCTTAAATTACTTAAATTATCTAGGCTATTAAGATAGTAATCTTACTAGCGTCTAAGCTTCTAGCTAGTAGTATAGCGCTTACGTATATAAATATTCTAGTTATTATCTTTAGCTTTATTTTTTCTTAGAGCTAATTTATTACTAGCTTTATAAGTATACTTATTTCTAGATTAATTTAGAACTAATCTATATAGAGAATACTCTAACCTAGATATAGACTTAGAAGAAAAGAAGTATAAGCTTAAAAGAAAGTATAAAAGAGTAAAACTTTAATAAGAAAAAAGATTACTTTAAATCTAAACTAAGAAAGCTAAGTTAAAGCTTTAAGAAAAAAAGCTATAAGTTTACTTTTAGTGTAAATTAATTTAGAACTAGTTAAGAAGTAACTAAACTAGTTTTAGAATAGTTAGTATAATTAAAGAGTTTTTAGTACTAGATAAAATTTACTAAAACTTACTTTACTTTCTAATTTTATCTTTTTTATATTAAATATAGTAAGTAGAGTTCTTTCTAATAAGGTTTATCTTTATCTAACTAATTTTAAATTAATTACTAACTATTCTAGCTTATATATACTTAATATACTACTTTTACTATACTTCTATATAGCTTTATAAAGTTTAACCTTAAGAACTCTAAGAGAAGATATATTATCTTTTATAAAGAACTCTTTTATTATATAAAGTATAATAAAAGCTTTTTAAGTCTTTATAGTATAAGTTTAATAGTTACTTAGAACTCTTTATAAATTAATTCTAAACTAATTCTAGTAGTACTATAAAAGAAAATTAAACTTTATTAAATATATTTATAAAATCTACCTTTAGTACTTTATTATACTAAATTCTACTAGCGTAATACCTTTATAAATATACTACGCTACTTATTACTTCTTTTAAGAGGTAATAAAGCGCTATAATAACTCTAGAGTAGTAGAAGAAAATACTATTACTAAGAAGTAGATCTAAAATAAACTTTAGAATTATTCTTTAATTAATCTAAAGCTAATTTAACTTACTATCTAACTAGCTACTTTCTTTACTAAACTCTTATTAAAAGTGCTACGCTTTATATTTTTAATTAATTTCTAATTAGTTTACTATTTACTACTTAAAAATAATAAGTCTTTACTATATAAATTCTACTAAAGTAGAAGATTTAAATATAAGCCTTTTTTTACTATTTAAACTTTAATTAATATATATTTTACTTACTAAAATATAGCTTATTACCTTTATTAATAGTATTATAATACTTCTACTTTTTAAAACTTATAGAAAATATAATTAAAGTTATAGTTTTATTAAATTTATTTTATATATCTATTTATTCTTAAATTATTTCTTAATTATTCTATAAATAATTCTACTATAGTTTTAATTCTTATTACTATTAGACTTAGAAAAAGTAGCTAAACTTTTAGACTTAGAAGTCTCTCTAGAAAGATTATAAAAAAACTACTAAAAAGTATATATAGTAAACTTATTTTAGAAGAAAGTATAGTCTAAAT